CGTTTGTATAATAGTGGGATTGAATCAATCGTTTGTATAACAGTGGGATTGACAAAACCGTTTGTATAACAGTGGGAATGACTCAATCGTTTGTATAACAGTGGGATTGACTCAATCGTTTGTATACCAGTGGGGATGACTCAATCGTTTGTATAACAGTGGAATTAACTCCACCGTTTGTAGAATAGTGGGATTAACTCAATCGTTTGTATAACAGTGGAATTAACTCCACCGTTTGTGTAATAGTGGGATTGACTGAATCGATTGTATAACAGTGGAATTAACTCCACCGTTTGTATAACAGTGGGATTGAATCAATCGTTTGTATAGCAGTGGGATTGACTCAATCGGTTGTATTACAGTGGGATTGACAAAACCGTTTGTATAACAGTGGGAATGACTCAATCGTTTGTATAACAGTGGGATTGACTTAATCGTTTGTATAACAGTGGGATTGACAAAACCGTTTGTATAACAGTGGGATTGACTCAATCGTTTGTATAACAGTGGGATTGACTCTTTTGTTTGTATATCAGTGGGATTGACAAAACCGTTTGTATAACAGTGGGATTGACTTAATCGTTTGTAATACAGTGGGATTGACTCAATCGTTTGTATAACAGTGGGATTGACTAAACCGTTTGTATAACAGTGGGATTGACTCAATCGTTTGTATAACAGTAGGATTGACTCAATCGTTTGTATAACAGTGGGATTGACTCAATCGTTTGTATAACAGTGGAATTAACTCCACCGTTTGTATAATATGGGATTGACTCAATCGTTTGTATAACAGTGGGATTGACTCAATCGTTTGTATAACAGTGGGATTGACAAAACCGTTTGTATAACAGTGGGATTGACTCAATCGTTTGTATAACAGTGGGATTGACTCAACCGTTTGTATAACAGTGGGATTGACTCACTAGTTTGTATAACAGTGGAATTAACTCAACCGTTTGTATAACAGTGGGATTGACTCAATCGGTTGTATAACAGTGGGATTGACTCAATCGTTTGTATAACAGTGG